TTAAATCAATTTAACTACAAAGTCGTTAAATGATGAAATTCAAATATATATATTACAATGTAACATGTATAAGTGATAAGTGTTATTTTAAATATAAATAGTAATATAGTCAATCAAAAAAGTATTTAAACATTAAAATATATTTTATTATTATTTTTAATTTTAAATATATATTTTAACAAACATTCGTGTAATACACGGTGTTGCATCATTATAAGTAAAAGTTTCATGTGGATTATAAACAATAATTTGCTTGGTGGGTGAATTTTTATATAAGTTAAAAAAATGAGCATTACACCCAAGAGCGCTTGGAAGAGATGACTTGGGTCTCTTCCAGCTTAACCAGTGGTCTCGTGTTCGAGTCCTGGGAATGCAGCAGTGTTAAAACTCTTGAGGGAGAGCTTTGCCGCCCTTGTGGTCCTACCCGGCTCGATTCCAGATTAGTCGGTTCCCTGTGGATCCGGAAACCGGAAGGTCCCTGTACAAAAATAAAAAATAAAAATGAGCATTACATAATCTAATTGTTTGAAATTAAAATTGAAATTGGACCAAAAGTTCTCACTGGATTAGGAATCTTGTTGGATAAATTGGATTCTTGTTGGATAATTCCAAAATATTGCAACTAACTTTATTTGTTGGTTGAACTGTCTATTTTGTTTGAATTTCTTATCACTATATGACAATCGATTTCTTTCTCTTTTCATCCATATTAAGACTGAATATTGGATATATATATATATATTAATCAATGCTTAAATTCCAACATTAAAAACAATTGAAAAATTTGTAATGAACACCAACAAATTCTCTATTCCTTATATTTTTACCTTCCTAATTTTCCATTAATATATATTTGTTCTCATAAAATCCCAAATCTAAAAATAGAAGGAATTGAAAGTGATAGAATGTGATAAATAATTTGTTCTATTTGATATTTTAATTAACTACAAAATAAATTAAATATGTGCCATCGTCTCGTCTCGTGCATACGAATAAGAGCATTATTTTCCATAAAAAAAACGATAAATGAAATTTCAATATATTGAAGTATTGAAATTTGAAACTTCATGAAAATATAACTTGAAAAAAGATGAAGAAATTTTTTGGTTGGTATCTATAGATCTTATAATCAACACTATTTTTTTATTTTTTATTTCTTTTTGAAAAGCTTGAGTAGGCAATAAAAGTCAAAATTTGACGTTTTATAAATTTATAAATATTATTAATAGACTTATTATTCACTATATATGATAAATGCTAAGTAATCCTATATATTATGCCTTGTTTATTTTATTTTATTTATATATTTATTATTATTATTATTTTTTTTTTTGGTAAGAAAAGAGATACTAAAGGGTCAACCGATGAATCATATCAAATCCATTTTATTACACGGCCAGGAAAAAAAACACTGTGCCCTTTACATACACATGAATAATTGTCGTCTGCTTTTCGGTTCATAGTGGAAAGTATTGAAAGTCAAATTTCACTTATGAGAAAAGGCATCTTCGTTATTATAATTATAATTAACCCATCACAACCATAAAAAAAGGCAAAAGCACCTCACAAATAGGTTGTACACGAGCTGAGGCGAGCTTGAATTCCATGTTTTTATCAATATTAATGAGTTGAGTTCGAATCTCAACAAGTTGATCTCAAACTTTATCGAGTTACATTATATAAAAATTCTTTTTTCGAGCTTTATCAATTCAAATCGAGCCCGATTCGTTGAAAAATCGAGCTTTGAGCGAGCTGAGTTGAATTTGACTCATTTCGTTTATTAGCTCTACAATCACCACTTCAGCTCTTACTTTTTATTTTTATTTTATTTAAAACTAAAAATAGAAGTAGGATTAGAAAGGAAGTCAATCTAGGGACGTTTATATAAATAAAACGTGAATAACGTAACACAAATCAGAGTGGCGCAGCGGAAGCGTGGTGGGCCCATAACCCACAGGTCCCAGGATCGAAACCTGGCTCTGATACAAGAGTGGCTTCTTATTCTGATTAAAACTTTTTCCCATTTTTTCCTTTGTTATGTTTATACTGCAATTTACTTTTTGTTCTAAGAAATTATATTTTACTACTTTGCAAACACAAATATAATTTAAAAAGAAAAATATGTCTGGATTGTTTAGGTACAAACATCTCTAACATGTTTATAGCAAAACAAGAGTGTTTTGAAACTAATAATATGAGGGGGAAAAAAAGGGGTAAATTGCGTCAAACCCCCCTGTATTATACGAAATCTGAGCGTTATCCCCCTGTATTTTAAAAATTGCGCCATACCCCCTTGTATTATACTTTTGATTGCACACGCTCCCCCCTCCTTGTTTCCGTGTTAACCCTGTTAATTTTTTGCTTAACTTCCCGTTATGTCCTCAGAAATAAACAATTACAGTCAGTCTAAAAATTAATACAATAAAAAAAGAGACAAAAGGGAGAAACGAAAACCCTAATTTCACTTTGGTGAACTAGAAAATTGAGGGAATCAAATAAAGGAAAATCGCTTCCGATCCTCCCATTTCACCATTTCACCAATTCACTTTGGTGAATTGCAGAATCAAAAACTCGCTTCTGCCTAAAGAAAAAAAACCAGATTTCAAATTTCAAAATAAATAAATAAATAAAAGAAAAAAAACTAGATTTCACATTAAGGGAGCAAATAATTTGGCATCTGCGTATGAGATAGATTTGTACTCCATATAGTGCCTCCAGAGAATAATCTGCGTAGGGAGCAAATAATTTTGCAAATAATATGTTCTCCCAAGAAAATGTGCCTCCATCCGCCGCCGCCACAAGAGTTCTCGCTCGAATTGTACGATGGCCCTGCGGTGGAGATGGAGGTGAGCATCATGGACGGTCACGGCCGGCGATGCGGTGTCGTCTCCAGCATCACCGTTGTGAAAAACCCCATATCCCCTACTCGCATCATCAAGGACAAATCGCACATTCCTACCTCTCTTTTTCCGGCACTGAGATGCAACAGGTCTCTCTACTCTCACACAATTCTGTTGCCGCTTCGTACGTCACACTGAAAATTCTGTTGAAATAGCCGGAACGAAAGAGAACGGCCCAACTCCAGCCTCCGATCCTCCCATCTTGCTTTACAGACCGACCGCCCACCTTAGAAATTGGACTCGATTGAAGAAAAAAAATGGAAGAACTTCGATTGTTATTTGAAGAAAAAAAATTGACGGATGTTCAATTTAATTCAGGTATTAAGGGGCAAAATAGTCATTTCCCTGAGTTTATGGCGAAAAAATAGAGAAAAAGCCACACCACACGCGCGTGAAATGCACATCCGTCAAGTTAGACGGTTTAGGGGATAACACGCAATCGAAAGTATAATACAAGGGGCTATGGCGCAATTTTTAAAATACAGGGGGATAACGTGCAGATTTCGTATAATACAGGGGGGTTTGGCGCAATTTACCCGGAAAAAAAGAGAAGAAAAGATTTGCATCTTCTAAATAAAGAAAAAAAATAAGTAAAATACAGATCAATGACATGAGGAATTGATTGATCACATACTCTTTTGCAACATATATGAATAATTTGTCGTTTTCTTTCGTCTCAAAACTCAAAAACACGGGCGGCTGAATCGAGTTCCATAAGCTTCTATGAGTCGAGAAATGACGCTTCTAATCAATTCTAGCGACAGAAAACGTGTAACCTCTTGAATCACTTTTGAATCACTTGACAATGCCTTCTAACGATTTTGTTTCGGTTTTGTGGTTTTCACAAACTACTCAGGCTGAAGCACAAATGGCGCCTGCAAGCAACAAGATATAAATACAAGACACTCTATTCCAACTGAATATACAAAATTGAACGATTTTGAAGTGCAAAGTGCAATTTGATATTTCGGTCATATAAGATATGGATACTAAGCATCCAAGTCGAAGCATACAGAAGAACTTCTTGATGGAAAAGGTGGTTTATGGAGGTAAGAAAAATGAGGAAAACGAATAAAAGTGTAATATTACGAGGAAAAGGGCAATCGAGCTAATTAAGTTGTATAAATGTTTTAAAGTGGAAACCTGATGACTCGGACGTGCAGCAAAATTTCCCTTCATCGACATGCTTCACGTCAAGCCCAATGAACCATGACCCCACGCTGACATCATCATGGGCATAAGTTTGGAGGATCAATCTGCAGAATCAGAATAAAATAAAATAAAATAAAAATAACCGAATCGGTAAGTTTTATTACAATTATGACAAGTTCTCAGAGAGATTGATGATTACTTGAGTAATGACTCAAGAGAACAGATCAACAGATACATTACCTGTTAATTGAAATAAACTGAGCTAATGCCCGGGATATAGCAAATACTTCACCCGATGCGTGCCGAAAGTATCTATTTATGATAAAAAGAAAAAAAAAGTCAATTTTGCAGTCGAGCGGGGTAGTCCATTTCATTTCAGCAGTTCAGCTCGATAAATTAAAATTCAAGAACGGATGAAAGTGAAGTGAGTGCCCGGGAGATTAGAATCAAGACTATTGAACATAACACTAATAAACCTTAGGATTATAGTTATGTATATGACTGAACCCAAAAGGAAGGATAAAACTCAATTTAATGGCATGACAGCATGTGAATAAGGAAA